TGGCTTGAAAAGTGAAGTTGCTTTTTTAATCAGATGCTTAGAGGCTGAAAGACATTCCCCGTTGGAAAGAAAAGGGTGAGCGCAGAGCAGGCTGGCAGCTTTCCAGGCAGTGGACAATATTGACTCTAGAATAAAATGGGTTTTGCTTAGCGCTCGCCCCAGGGCACCAGCCTCCCTGCTTCGGAATAAATCATGCGGGCGGGCGATTCCCTGGCATGGGCTGGCCCTCAGGTGGCTAACGGTGTGCCACAGCACTACCTGGCCAGACACACGGACGCGGAGCTGGCGAGGGCTCTGCCGCCGCCGCGTGTATAGCACACGCAGAGGCAGTGCCCAGTTCCTCCACTCGCTGCTGCCTTGGGCTTCAGCCCATGATGTGTGGTGGGTACTACACCAGCTCGGACCATTTCTGATGGGATGCAGCTCAACCCTGCGCACTCTGGGAGGGCAAAGGAAGCTGCCGGCAAACCAGGTCAAAAAATGGACTTGTTATCTAGGGCTCTTTTGCCACCCTACAATCAAGTCAAAAAGCTAGAGCTCTGATCGGGAAACAAGCCTTGAAAGAATTCCACTTCAATGTGAGCAGCAGAAAGGCCACTGTCTGCGTTCCAAGGAGGAGCAAAAAATTAACTTTGAAACCACAAAAGCTGATGCCAGTTGGTAGTGCCTTCTGGATGCCTTTGGTTGAGTGCAGCACTGTACAGCTCCTGCAGCGCCGCAGGAGGCTGAGAGGGGAACCCTGGAAGGAGCCATTGGGCCAGTGAGGGACACAGAAAACCAGGTTTTGGGAAGGTGTCTAGAATATAGTCACAGCAAAGTAGTTCAAAATTGTTCACGTTGGATTTACCCACAGGTAAAGAAAACCTGACCAACCTTGTCTTAACTTTTAAATAAAAGGCAGAGACAGAGAATATTAATTCTGTGCAGTCCTTTAAAGGAGCAGTTATCATCAGGCCTGCTCCCCTCCCCATATTCCTAAGTCAGGCTACCTGCACCTCTTTTTAGCGCTGGCAGCACTTTGCTTACGTGGCCACTGAGTCTTCCCTGATGTTTCTGTTGCCAGGACTTGTCAAAGCCACGAGAACTACCCTCTCACCAATACATGTTTAACCTCTGCAAGCCATGGGCCTGAAAACCCCAGCCCAGAGACCCAGCTGTGAAAGACTGTCAGTAACACAGATGTCTGCCAGCAAATTATGGCTCGAGACAGCTTGGAGGCTTTTTCAGCAGGAGACACAGCTCTTAAGATGCCTTGCCAGCTACAGTACGCGTTTTGCAATGGTTGCTCAACCACAACGCGTGTGGGGCGAGGGTGCAGGAGGGGCGGCTCACAGTCAGCTCCCACCTAAATGGGATTTATTTTAGATACATTTAATACAGTGGATTTCTCATCCCAACTGCCACTGCAGAGAAAGGAGAGAGTGTGGGAGAGCCAGAGGGAGAAGGGAAAGGCTGGTCTCAAAGCAGTTACATGCAGCCTGGACTAGTGATGCGGTACACATTGCTGGATCAGTGGTTGTCCTAATGCTGTGGGGAAACTTGGCAGCTCTGCTACCACTGTGGGCTGTTGAGACAAAGCCAGTGTGGAAACTTCACATAAAAAAAAAAAAAAAAAAAAGAAAGAAAGAAAGAAAGAAAAAGCAAAAAGAAAAAAAAAGGCCAAATGCATTATGACAGACCCAAAGACAATAACCTTTTGTAATCCAAACAAGCTGGGCAAGCCAAGCCATTGTTGAGAATCTGAAAAGCTCCAGAGCACAGGAGAAGAGTAAAAATGAAGGGGGGGGGGAAAAAAAAGTCATACAGCTTCTAATAGAAAACACAGAAAGTGTCCTGAATTTTAACATAAACCAGTTCATTTTCCTGAGGAAACATCAGAGCAGAGAGAGTTTTACACCCTCTCACTAAACGATTCAGTAATTAAGTGTAACAGTGGCTGTTTCTTCCTAACACCACCTGTACCTCTCTACATGTATGTGCAAATGTCAACACACAGTGAAGTGGCTGACCAAAAAAAGGTTCAGACAATTGATCTTCTGCATTTTAAGTGATAAAAGCTTGGCAGTGTTGTAGTGTATCAAGCTCTGGCTGGCCAAAGCTCCATCTGACGTTCTCTTGAAAAGGAATATATATGCTAATTTATTCTCCATGATAGATATTGTCCTTAGAAACAAATGCAGAACAGAGATTCTGTCCTTGGCCTCTGTGTCCTGATGCATCAGTTAAATCTAGGAATTAGTAAGGGAAGAAAATAGAAGCAAAACACTTGAACTGGAAAATGACGACTGTGAAACACCAGCCACTTCAAAGCATCACCTCTGAGGGTGCACCAAGCTGGAAATCTAATGTCTTGTCCACAGTCTCAACCATTAAAATTGACCCAGACTTTTGGATAAATAGAAACAGATTGCTTCTCCTCTGCTTAGGAGATCACTGCACACAATTCTATGGAAAACAAGACTCCTTTGGGCAAACACCCTGCAAAAAGAAATCAATCCTTATTTAGAAGGGCTCTGATTTAGATACATGTATGGCGATAGAGCAATTCACTCACCATTTTATTGTCCTGAGGCCAACAAACTAAGAGGTAGCTGAGGCACTAGCTATGGGATATGGAGCAGCTAAAAGATTCTGATTCTTTTATTCAGGACAAAAACGTAGTCCCCATTTTCCACTTCCAGTGAGGAGTCAAGAGGAACAGCAGGGAGAGGTAGCCTCATCGCAATCTCCACATGTTTCTGCTTGGCACATGCCACCTCTTTCTGGGACAACACTGAGGTAAATTCAGACTTGAATTTTCAAGTCACAGTTTAAGTATTTATTCTGGAATAGCTGCTTACAGCTAGGTGTATTTGTGCTAAACTGGTGGTAATTTTTGTATTGACCATATTAGAATCTGTAACTGGATCAACATGTGTCCTACACTTCAGGAAATTCAGAAAAATTAACAGAAAAATCAACTCTCTTTCCCCCCCTGCTATATGCTATAGTTAACAGACTTCACACACCAGTACTGAAAAATAATACATTGAATCAAATCTACCATACATTTAGACTTACCCAAGCTCTTCTACCTTACTCATTATTCTACATTTAAAATTTGTGTTCCTTCTTATTTATCTTTCTTCTAACGCCAAACAGTATTAGCTATGCAATAACCATTTTGAATAAGGTGAAGTGCTATGCACAGATTCATAAATGAGGTACAAACCGATATACGGAATTATCTCTTTGTTTAATTTTTAACCATTCCAACCATTCCATGTATGCATCCCAATATTCTGCTGGTAATTTTGACTGGAAAAATCACAGTAAGCAGAAATTCCACTGAGCTTTTTGACATGGCTCTCAAGTTCACTTGGAACCTCTAGTGTGCACAAATAGTTATTTTTCCCTCTTCATGCTTTACTTGGTATTTATCAGCACCAAATTTGATCACTGTGATGCCCCATTCATGTAAATCACTTAATTCTTTGCAGTTCCTCATGGCCCTTCTTGTTTATTAGGAAAAGAGCTATGGTGTCACCTGCCAATGCTACAACTTCAACCATTTTAACCTCATTTCCTTTCCAAACCACTAGCCAACTGGGGAAATGCAAAACAACTCCCACGAACCTGGAGAAACTGTCTTTGCCTTCCAACCATGATGAAAGAATTCTGCTCTTACCCTCCTGTCAGGAGGCCCATGATACTTCTGTAGCTCTCCTCCAAAGCAGAAGATTTTTTTCCCCCCTTTTTTTTTATTCCAATAGCATCTCACATCTTGAAAAAAAGCTTTTGGAAATCTGCATGAAGCCATTCTTTACTGATGCCTTCAGAGACATCCAGAAGTTTAATAAGAAAACTCCCTTTGCAGAAACTGGGAGAGCGTCTCATGATCTTCCAAATGTTTTGCTGTTTAAGTCCTCAGTTGATCCAATGTTCTCATTCTGTCCCTATTCTTTTGCTCATGCCTGTAGCCTTTTTAAAATGTGAAGTCATCATTCTCAGGGTGAGACTGCATATTCTACTAGCATCTGTTCAAGATGATAGACAATGATGGTTATTCCCAGATTAACATGTTCTGCACAAACACTCCAGATAATATTAAACTTAGATCATTATTCTGCCATTAAAACATCATTATATTTATGGTTTATAAAGCATGGGACAAATCATAAGCATGTGGAGTTGTAGTTGCGTGGGAACATCCAAGCCTCCAAACCTACAAGAAATCAGGCTTTTTAACCCCCTCCATTCTTTCCTTTCCTGAAAGGACATTTGCTATGGATGCTAAAACACAAACAGCATGGAAGTGAAGACCATTTGCATATATGGGGCCTTTGCCTTTATAGGTCACACAAAGAGCCCACAACAGCAAGGATTAGGGCTTCTCTAAGTCAGTGGGAGTCACTTGAGAAGGAGCCTCTTGAACTGAAACAAAACAATGAAGACATTTAGCCAGAGACAAAAAACTCATCGTTCTTCCTGTCTTCACTTCATTAAGTCAATGCTGTTCATTCAAGCCTTTTCATTGTAGGCTGGCTATGACTTTTATTCAGGTGGGCCCATCTCTATAACAATTCCTCAAGGGTTATCCAAATCAGGGGTCAGATACACTGGAGTATGGGAGGCAGCTCTTCCCTTCTGCAAGCATTCCTCAGCATGCAAAGGCATGATGGCCCACTGATCCAGATTCTATAAAAAGCTACTTTCAACATAGGAAAGTTGTTTAGCTTTCAGGAAGATCCCCTGGCGTGTCTTCCCCTTCATGTGTTTGCTCCGCTTTGAGTGCTCACACGTTAAAATGAACTGAGGTCCTGGCTCCAGAGGGAGTTCGACTTATTTAAAATGTTAACTTCTAAAAGAAAAATACATATGAAAGAAGGAAATACCTTTCCCTTCAGTACACAGGCCTACACTTCCACGTTTGATGCAGTTTACACTAATCAAAGACATATACAAAGCAGGCATTGGTTGGGGAGAAGGCTGACCCTGTGCTGAGAAGGACACATTCTTACCAGCCAGTCATGTTGAAGTCACGGTAGAGCATCCTCTTTCCAACTTCCTTGCGCTGCACCCTCCGTGGAAACTCTAAATGTGTGAACTCATTTCCCAGCAAGTGGGGCTGCATGTAAGCCTGTGGGCAGAAACCAAGCCACAGATACTACAAGAACATCATAAAACAAGACATCATCTATTTTTAATGAGGTAGCATTACCATCCCTTCCCGCTCCCTTCTCACACGCATTTCCCCCCCTCCTCTTTTTAAACAAGGAAGATGATGAGCTCTGTTTCAATGAACTATGCGTACATACACCAGTTCTGACACTGCTTGGTGTCCAGCAGCAGCCTTATGGGAAACCATCCTCTTGCCCTCAAAATCCTTCACTTCTCCCTTCTCCTCAACATTTGGGATGTCTAAAGTATGCCTCATCCACTGACCCTGAAGGAGTCTGCAGGGCTTCATAAAACAGAACACATCTCCTTTTATAAGTCAGTGACCTGACTGCAGGGAACAATCAAAGGACGAAGCCATGGAGCAAGCAGAGACTTGGAGGGGTGCATGTGGAGTGAAGCTCAAGCTTTTTTGACTCCCAGTTCAGCTATGACAACAACGCACACAACCTAATATTACTACCACACTTTAGTTGTCACTGCCTTAAAAAAAATGTTCCCTTTTACCTGCTCAGCGTGCTGCACCCGATCACATGTGACACTGCAAATAAACACAAGTTGCAGAGCACTTTATTTTGTTTTCTAAAACCTACTTCCTTCATGCAGAATAGACTTTAAGAAAAGCAGCAGCAGTTTTGTGTCGCAACCACGACTAATGTTTTTGATGGCGTTAACATTCAAATGCCACTGCTGCTGCTGCCCTTTCTGATGTGCTGCTCTGCAGATGCTGGGTGGCTTCTTTGCCAGAGCCCTGCCCGGGGCTCATGCTCTCCAGAGCTGACCGTACTCGAGAGCATGGCGAGGCTCTTTGTCCACTGCACACATTTTTGGTTTGGATTTATACACAGATCACCCGACACGATAGGTTAATCCTAAACATACTGTATTTCTTCCTTCCAAAATAAACCTCACTCATTTTTTCTTTAGTATTTGCATAAACAAGCCTTTCTCCCTCCTTCCCTCCCCAAAGCCACGTTGTGAGCAAGCTCTTCTGAAGACAGTCAAATTGGCTAGGGAACTGAAAAAAGTTGCGTTTCTTAACCTTTCTGCAGATAACTCTTTTTCCTTATCCAGCCAGTTAAGGCAATAAAGTCTGTCTTATCTCCAGCAGCAGCTGCCATCAGGGCAGACCAAATGAGCTGGCTTTAGTTTGTGGGTTTGTCATAAATCTAGCGCTCATCAAAGGTGAGCGGCAGGAAGCAGTGGAAGCCCTTATTGATCCACCTGGCAGCTATCATGCAGATAGTTCACAATAAAACATTTCCTGCATTTAAGGGCCGAGCCTGCTCCCATTCAATTTAATAGGAGTTGGATCAGGCTCAGCACATCACCACGCTAACCTTCCATCAGCTTGTCCCTGTTCCCGTTGCCAGACATCCTTCCAGAAAACACCTCGAGCTCGCCTGAAACAGGGCTGAGGGAGATTGCTGTATGTAGCCAACAAGATTGGATTCTGCTTTCAAGAGGTGGCTTTCAAGCACGCAAGTGTGATCTTGACATTGCGATCCCTTCCTGGAACAAGAGCTCCATCAAATTCTCTCTCCAGGTACAGTTAAGGGAATTACCTTTTCTTCCTGCAGTGTACAATCAGCCAAGGTAACCTCCCCCACCCAAATATTGTTTTCAAAGACCCTCAAATTGGATCACTGTTCCTCATTACAGAAATGGTTGAGAAGCACTAGTGACTATTGAGAGGTCTAGCAGTATTAGTCCAGATGAGGCTTTTCACACCTCCAGAACTCTGGATTCTTTATTTAAAAGTACACATAAACTTTTTATCTTTATTTCTTTTCATTCCTGTTGCAAAAAAGATGGAACATCCCTAATGATTTATTTGATGTACTGTTACACACTGACAGCAGAGCGCTGGACTTTTTTTGGTATTTTTTAATTCTTTCTAGTCTATGATATTGTAAACAATGAAGTCAGTCTGCTTTGAAAGTGCAATTCAGTTCACTTTTAAAAACGCACAGCCTATCTTGATTAAATCATTACAAACCACTTCTAGCTAAAGACTACTGTCGCCTGCCTACAAAACAAGTCATCTTATTTCAAGCAAAAAACCCTCATACCTGACATCAAAATGAAGTTATTTAACCTTTAGATTATGAGATTACTTATTAGGCTGGATCATAAGTCCAGAAGAAAAAAGTTACAGGCTTTTAGCACTTTTCCCCTTGAAAACAAGAATTTCCTTTATTGAAAAGGTAAGGCGATTGGGAGAGACTGCATTTCATAAAGATTTACTCAGATGGAAAGTCTGAGGTCACAAGTGAAATAAGATTAATAAACTGGCAGAGTTACCAGTGGACTGCTAATGTTCAAATAAGATTTCTCTTCCGCAGCCAAGCCTCAATGCTTGATTTACAGTCCAGGGATCTTAACTTGATTCTAATATTTTTGGCGTCAGTGGAACAGAGGGAAAAGAGCAATTTGGAAGCTTCTGATGCCTGTGAGCTGAATTCTTATGTGAAGAAATGGGGATTTTTGTTGGGCTGCCTTTTTTTTTTTTTTTCATTTTCTGTATTTTTTACCCTTTTCTTTTTAACAGTTATTTTTGATGCTTCACTGGTAATTCTACAGAGAGAAGAATGTTCTACTACAAAACTCAGCTGCAACTTCCAGTTGGGTTTGTTGAGAACTGTTCTCCATTTACTACAAGGCAGGACTCTTGTCCCTGTCCACCCCAATCAAAATGTGCTGGGCAGAAGAATCAGAAAATATAAAAAACCCAACACTTTAAAAATCTACAGATCTTTCAAGTAAATATACAAGCAGACACCATGAAATCCCCTCAAGTGATCAAAGGAGAAAAAAAAAGGTAAGTGAACTGACCAAAAGAATTTGATCTGTGACAAGGAACCATATTTTCCATTTTTTCATTTGTTTAGTCTCGATTTGCAAGAACCTCAGATCAGAAACACCATTCAAAGAACTTAAAATTTAATAAAGAGTGACTACCAAACACTTTCTATATCCTTACGAGATAAGTTCAGACAACATTGTTATTCTGTGTTATGGTACTGGAATATTTTCCATCATTTTTCTTTCAGAAGCTATTGCAGTTTTTTAGCATAAATCTGGCATAGTCTGCATCATGTGTTTTTGGTACCTTGCCATTTTATGGTGTATTTTGTGGCTAGATGTATTACATTCAACATTAGTTGTTTAAAATAGAGCCTGCTTAAGGAAATATTACTCACGTTTCTTTTAAAAGGCCATTTACTTCCTGCTGTGATTCCTGGTGATCAGCAAAGCAAACATGAAATTAAGATAAACCTAGACTTACACACTAGTGTGTCAGTTCATTAGGTGGCAGAGAATACTCTTGTGTATCTTATCATACCTTGATAAGGCCTGCTGATGCCTTTTCCAGCTCCTCCAGTACACACTACTCTGGGACATCACCAGCACTAGTGGTTTCACTGTATTCTGTGTTATTTTCAGAACTGCTGTTTCTGTTGATGTAGCATCAACTGTATCTGACAACTTTATCCTCTTATCATATTGTGCCATCTTCTCCCATATTCTACTATATGGGACTACGGCTCACAACAGCATCCACAGCACAATGTGTCCAGAAGTTTTGCAAATTACTCAGCCATTATCATATGGACACATTTAAGCTAAACAGAGGTTAAAACTAAAGGAGATGGTGGTATAAGGAAAGAGGGAAGTGGAAGCCAAATCCACCCCTGGATTGGTCTCTCCTCTTATGAAAGGGCAGGACCTTTTCCATAAAACCACACATCTCTTTTACCACAGAATTGTGCAATGTGCCAGATGGCCAAAGCAATCCTACGCTGAGTGATGCAGGAGGCCACAAACTATAAGAGAATTAAGACACATCTGACTTGTAATTGAAGCACTGAACTGACATTTAGGAGATCTAGGTTCATTTTCTCTTCAGGCTTGGGTTGCCCAAACATCCTTCAGCAGGTAAGTTAGTATCGCTTAATCCTCACCTCAACAATGAAATAAGAATAGGTCCTCTTTGAACTCAGGCCTGTCTGGGCTCATAAACCTTTGACTGGTGCCAAACACAAAGAGCATCCACGGTTCACTGCCACTGATGGCCATCCAGTCTCTTCTGGGGCACTGCCTGGTTACACACATGGTCACGGTATGCAGTAACACCACGCTGACCTCACATGACATCTTCAAAGTGCAACTTTGATAACATACAGAAATACATCCATCTGCAATACACTCATTCATCATTCATTTTAAACACATTTTCCAAGGGAATAAGTAACAAAATCTATGCCATTTACCGTTGCAATTTAGACTATCATGACTGAAATTAATAGTCTCCTCAGAAGATGAAAGGAAAATTGCCTTTGGCAGTTATTGCCTGTTCAGTGTACCAGGGCAGTTCCCAGTCAATAATGAATTTTGTTTTGCCTCAAGATACACCAATACGGGAAGTCAGGGCTTTCCTGGGGTAGGCGCTGTGTGGAGCTCTCCTGCCACAGTGCTAAAAAGAAAAGACAGACACAAAAAATTCAAAAGAAAAGGAGGCTCATGAATGCCTGCCAATGGAAGGGAAGCAGTATGGTGCACCGAACCTCTACAGAAGCTGAAAGACCGAGGGAATACTGGTGCAAGACTTTCACACCTTAAATCTTAAGAAGTGGTCTCTGACTGAAGGATTGATTGCCTTCTGCAATACTCCTGCAAGTCCCCTGACACAGAAGTCTGCCTCTGCCATATGGCCTGCCGGAAATCTGCAGCTGTATGCTGTCCTTCTTCTGCAAAAAAAGAGGGTGCAGGTAGAGACAGAGGGATGACCATGCCCAGGGCTGCTCAAAAGTCAGAATGACTGGGTAGTCAACTTGTTCTTTTGAGGTTGCCATGCCAGAGGCCTATGCCCAAGGCCATTCTTGGATACTTGGCAATAAACTTGCATTAAAGTGGGAGCTGGATAGGAAAACACATTTGTTTTCCCCTGCCCAGTTACTCAACCAGTACTAGCTGAAGCACAGTTTTGTCTAAGACTAGGCTGGAGGACTTGATATAGCAATGCTCACATGACCTGAACAACTCATTATCCTGCACATGGGATAATTGCACATGGAAATTGGGCCCTAGAAAAGAGGACTTAAACCAACATCCTCTGTGGCCAAAGCAATCAAATAGGCACTAAAGACAGAGGAAAGCTCCTTTGCCCTGGCTGTGCTAACAGTGTCTACTGCACAGGGAATCAACATTGTAGCCCATAGGCTGTAAATCCATACCCTCCCTTTGCCTGTGCAGTAACTTCGCCACACTAAACAGTATCTCTGCATTTACCAAGTAAAATATTAATGCTAAAATGATTAAGTGATTTTCTTCCTATTGTGCAGGAAGAGCAGTGGCAGTACAACATGTTTGAAACAAAGAAACTCAGCTTTAACTGCAAATAAGAAAATAAATCCAAAGTAGGTTGCAGATAAGAACAGCAGAAGAGAGATGCTGATGGTGCAATAGACTGATAGCAGAACCTGGGGACAGCCAAGGTGAGTAAGGAAAATTATTTGGGATCTACTCAGCAAGACAGATGCAACCTTTGGAGTGTAATGTTTATGCCAACCTTGTAAGAAATTTGGAGTCGTCTTTTTTATTTTTAAACACTAGAGTAAAAATGTTATTTACAGAATGTTATGTTTGAAATTATCTCTAATTTTGTTTCACGCTCATGCTGTCTTGCATGTATTTTCTTTGAACATGATATCCATGGCCCTGGCATATTTGTTACACACAGAATTAAAATAAACAAAGGTAAAGGAATTTTCCAAAGGGAACAGCAGAAATGCTTTTCAGATCAGCTGCTGTTTTCAAATATAAGTCAGAAAGGACATCAAAAGAGAAGAAAATCCCTTGTAGGCAATGCTTTATCTTGTATTTCCTACAGAAGTAGCAGACTCCCTAGATACTAAAGATACCTTTTATTTTAAAGGCAAACAAATTACTTTAAATGTAACTGAACTGTAAATATTTATTAGGCCTCTTTTCCATTTGGTTCTCTGAATAAGAATACTCCCAAAGCAGTATTTCCTCTAAAATTTTCAGCTTCAAGCGAGTGAACCTGACTAAAAATCAATCGTGACAAGTGTGGAAACATTTACAATTTTTCTTTAAAACCTTCCACCTCTGCCTTCAACCACCGGCATTTTGCCTAGTTTCAAACCACAGTGTTTGGGCTAGGCTGAAGGTAAGAGACACCTTAAGACCGGGGAACACCACTAGCTTTGGCCTGTCCACCTCACGTCAGGCAAAGCTGACAGTGAGCCTGCCTTGGCTTAAGCTTGAATTTCTAAGAGGAAAAAGCAGGAGGCCAGAAGAAGCACACACACGAAAAAAATAAAAATAAAAAAATAATCTCTTGGCCATGTTAGGAATGACATTTTGACAAACAGCCAACCAACTGGGTTGACCTCGGTACCGGGGAAGATCATGGAACGGTTTGTCTTGAGAGCACTCACATGGCAAGTCCAGGATAATAAGCGGATCAGGCCCAGTCAGCATGGGTTTACGAAAGGCAGGTCCTGCTTGACCAACCTGATCTCCTCCTATGACCAGGTGACCCGCCTAGTGGATGAGGGAAAGGCTGTGGATGTTGTCTACCTGGACTTCAGCAAGGCCTTTGACACTGTCTCTCATGGCATACTCCTTGAGAAGCTGCTGTCTCATGGCTTGGACAAGCGTACTGTTCACTGGGTGAAAAACTGGCTGGATGGACGAGCGCAGAGGGTTGTGGTGAATGGGGTGAAATCCAGCTGGCGACGGGTCACAAGTGGTGTTCCTCAGGGCTCAGTATTGGGCCCCGTTCTGTTTAACATCTTTATCAATGATTTGGATGAGGGGATTGAGTGCACCCTCAGCAAGTTTGCGGATGACACCAAGCTGGGAGGCAGGGTCGATCTACCTGAGGGTAGGGAGGCTCTACAGAGAGATCTGGACAGGCTGGATCGATGGGCTGAGGCCAGTCGTATGAGGTTCAACAAGGCCAAGTGCCGGGTCCTGCACTTCGGTCGCAGTAACCCCATGCAGCGCTACAGGGGAAGAGTGGCTGGAAAGCTGCCCGGCAGAGAAAGACCTGGGGGTGCTGGTCGACAGCCGGCTGAATATGAGCCGGCAGTGTGCTCAGGTGGCCAAGAAGGCCAACAGCATGCTGGCTTGTATCAGAAATAATGTGGCCAGCAGGAGCAGGGAGGGGATCATCCCCCTGTACTGGGCACTGGTGAGGCCGCATCTTGAGTCCTGTGTTCAGTTTTGGGCCCCTCACTGCAGGAAAGACATGGAGGTGCTGGAGCGTGTCCAGAGAAGGGCAACCAAGTTGGTGAGGGGCCTGGAGCACAAGTCTGATGAGGAGCAGCTGAGGGAGCTGGGGCTGTTTAGTCTGGAGAAGAGGAGGCTGAAGGGAGACCTTATCACTCCCTACAACTACCTGAAAGGAGGGTGTAGTGAGGTGGGGGTTGGTCTCTTCTGTCAGGTGGCTGGAGATAGGACGAAAGGAAATGGGCTCAAGCTGCGGCAAGGGAGATTTAGGTTGGATATTAGGAAAAATTTCTTTACTGAGAGGGCTGTCAGACATTGGAATAGGCTGCCCAGGGAAGCAGTTGAGTCACCATCCCTGGAGGTATTTAAAAAAGCACGTAGACAGGGTACTCCATAACATGGTTTAGTAACATGGTTTAGTGGGCATGGATGATGGTTGGACTCGATGATCTTGAAGGTCCTTTCCAACCTAAATGATTCTATGATTCTATAACTTCCACCAACTGATCTGACCATTGATGAAAAACTTAAAAAGTAACAGGATTGTATGCATGAAAAATAACACCATGTATTTTGACTTACGTTTCATGGGCAGTTTATGAGCCAATGCAACTTGGTGTATAAAGCATCCCACATGTCCTCAGCTAGTTACCCTGTTCCAGCTTTATGGGTGCTGCTACACTAAATAAAACTAGTCTTTCTTCACCCATCCTATCCTGCAGCTACTAATGCTCACTGAGATCACCTCTAAGTTAGATATCTTTTCCCTGCTTGAAATACTATTGGCATACTATTAGAGCAAATGAATAACACCCTGCAGTATCATTCACAGGCACACAAAGAGCAGTCTGTGGTATTTTATACTGGCACACAGTAAACACTGGGATAGATTGAAATACCTCTGTGGCTTGTTAGCTCTATGTTTGAGCTCTCACTATTCAACACCAATGAGCTGCTGAAGGTCTGCCCCTGAACAAGGTACAGAAGCCCAGCCATGCTAATCGATGGCCTTCATAGAAGAGATAAGACTCCTTTCATTGGGATTTACACCACCAGGCTTTTCTCCGCATTTGCTGATGGCTAAAAGACATACATGGTCAGTCACTGGTGTTCAGCGGACATGTGGTCCTTCACTGAGCCACAGTAACTCAGCAGCATCTGTCTGAACCTTAGATATTACCAGGCAATGCTTGTCACCAGCAGCACCCGATTTGGTCCTCAGGTCTCTTACCAGATACTGAAGTCGCTGGCGTTCAGTCTCTGGAGTGAATTCTGAAGACATTGGAATGACTTCGCCATTTCGGATTATTATAGCCCTGTAATAGTAATAAAACATCATCAGTACAGGAAAAAAAAAACCCATAAAAAATACCCAGAAAACCACAGAGTATAGTCACACTCTTATTCTCTTCAGAGTCACACTAAAATAAAGCCATTTCTTTTCTACTGAAGTTGTCAGCAGAACAGGATAATAATTCCTACCCTGTATCTTTTAAGCTGGATAACAAAGTATATTTGTATATGCCAAGTTCATTTCAGAGCTCACAAAAATATCCAAGCAACAAAGGCAAGAGTTACTTCAGCTGATGTCTACAGGGTATCCCTATTAACTGAAATGCAGACACCCAGAGGAGATGCTGCAGAATCACTGATTGTAGAACAACTCTTTGCAGGTTTTAATCCCAGTTGTGGCTGACGCTGTCTAAGCTACTGCCTTCAAATGACTTATGCAAGCACTTTCCAATTATTGATTGGTCATATGTCATGTCAGAACATTTCTACTCCAACAGCAAATGGAAATGGCAAAGCAAATCCTGTTTAACACAAATTTAACTAGTTACCTGCTGAAAGATGACAGGTAATGGAATGACTATAGATCAGCCAGGAGATTTCACATACACTTCTGCAAATGGCTGAGAGGAAATTCTCTCAAACACCTGCCTGTTGCCTCTTAACAATCTGCTATGCTGCATGCAAAATGCAGTTCGATTCTTTCCTGGTGTAATGCCACTGGCTGAAACACAGTCATGAGAGGGAAGAATTTACCCAGTATTCCTACCGCATTCTGCGGTCATGTATTCACTCACAGAATTGCGTTCTTTTATCTTTCCACTATTTACACAGCTCTGTAAGTATAGTAATGCTTGGTGCTTTCGAAGAGCTGGATGAACTATGTATCATCCCAAAGATTTTAATGCCTGTTTTGGAGCTGTTTCTCAAATATCAGTAGATTAATTCAGTGTTTGGATAGTAGCACTGTGTACCAGCTCTCCTCTTGAATTTGGTGTAGATAAAACAAGCAACTGTCACTTGGATTCCAGTTTCTATATGTTTTAAATTGTTTCCTTTCTGTGATCTTTCATCCTGTTGATGTGGTATTTATGTGCTAGCTTACTTCTCTTGATAATTTGATCAATTTGCTGGCATTGCTTCATGCCAGCTATTCTGATGGCACTGTAATGCAACCACCAAACACGGTAGCACGTGAAAACTGAAAACTTAACCTCTAAATTCAAAACACAGGCATCTCGAGAAAACCAGCCTGGGTACAAATCAGCTTTGTAAAATTAGTAGCACTGGATAACTTTCCAAGTCTTCTGGATATGATACTGGACTAAAATTGTCTCCAAATGATCATCTACTATTGCTAGTATGCAAAAGAAAGGAGCATTATCAAAGAGGAAAGGAACTGGTCACATTTCTGAGGTTCATGTGGCAAACAACAGACAGGTATAGGATGGTGCTACAATGGGAGAGGTGGAAAAAGGCTGTAGTGATGAGGGGAAAACAGCTCTGCTTTGACAGACAACAAATTTACTGCTCCTGCACTTCCAGCTCTCCCTTGCAAATAATCCTGTGTAGAAATTAGAGGTGGCAGCAGTGCAACATACATACTGAAGGCTCCCACTGGCCCTCCACTGCTACAATTAAAAACAATATTGTGTGCTTGAAACGACACAGACATGGTGGTTGTAACTAATTACTTTCTTAAGAGAAATTTCTGCAGAATTTTTGATGGAATTTTTTCCCCTTTATGGGATCTGAATACATTACAGGCTTACAAAAATGCCAGTCCAATTAAAAATAATAAAGGTTTGCTGAAAATTTTTCTTTTGGATTTCTGAGACAGACATTTAAAAATGAATTAAGAACTCTACCACCTCTTTTCTGCAACAACACCTTTGCTTTTATTTTTGCAATTCCTAAGGTATTCGGCAGCTTTGAACCAGACTCATTTACTCAAAGACAGTGGGCAGTTTTTATAACCTTTTCATATGTAACTTGACTCACTTAAGTAGGCCGCCTTTTAAGGGGACTGTGGGTTTACTATAGAGCAAGTACTCTGGCAACAGTCTAGACTAGACTGATCAAAGGAGCTGATAAGACACAAACCAAATTTTACACACTAGTTTAAGAGAGTCATAAGGGATCTACTGATCTTGTGCTTGTCTGAGAGAGCTAATATAAAAACACACATTGATATAACTGCTGGTACATCAGGCTAATTTTCTAATTATTCTTTGCTTCCCCTTTAATCACCATTTCACAGGAAATCTGTATTTTAAAGACCACTCAGATCAGTCTGGGGTTCACCTTTTTTCTTTGTGCACACCGACATACTTCCTATATATGTTGATAGCTATCATTCTCACTTCTACGGGTAGAATTGGGCCCTGAGGGACTCACATCATATAAAAAGCAATTCAGAGGCAAGTGGGTCAACCTTTCATGGCTCAACTTATTTTCACTAGAAATTGCAGCCACCTGGGATGAAAAGCACAACCCAGCACACAAAAAAAAAAATCTTTGGAGGGGGGAATTAAAGCAATGCTGTTGATACCTGGTAAAACAGAGCCTCAGTTTTATGTTTTTCATTAATGTTTTCAGCAGTTGGACTTTATTCAACTTGAAAGTTACAGCTGCTCATAAGAGTCAAATGATTTGATCCGAGGAATTAGACAGCTCTAGATATGAGTAACGGGAAGGATGCAGACATATGTGTACAGGTCACCGGTCTGAATTCAACTGTGGTAGGCTCATTATCCTCTTGCCTTTCTGCACCAGATGCTTAGCCATTTCATGAGAGCAAAGGGTATTTCTGACGGCCCAAGTGACAAAAATGGACACATTTGTCCGCCATCTCACTGGAGAGGCTGGGTGCAAAAGCCTGGCTGGGGAGCCACCCTGCTCAGTGGGATTTTCCCGTGATTGAAGAGGTGCCGAATCAGGCCCTAATTGGGTTTGGAGACTGAACTGCCCTTTCCGTGACCCCACAGTGACAGAGCTGCCAAGCACCGACTGAAGGCTTTTCCCACTGAGCAACCTCCAGAGCCCTGAATTCGATAGCCCAAAGTCAATAACTGCTCACAGGAAGGGAGCCTGGCTGACGTAGCAGCCGCAAACAGCCCAGCGACTGCTTTTAGAGACCCACTCTATACAGTCCTGCAGGACAATTAATTTTGACTTTATACTTCCTAATGGACTAAGCAGCAACATGGCATCACATGGGCTTTACTGCTTCTACCATGCATGAAAGATGCATGTATGCAATGATATAGTGTTCTGAAAGCATTTAGCTTCTCGCGCACCGTGGAATATGAATGTATTATTTTATACCAGAATACAGCTGTCCTATTAAACTGTCAGAAATAGCTACATAGGAAGCAAGAAGAACTCGATGAGATGCAGTGCCCAGAGAGCATCTGATTCTGCCATGTTTAATAGTGACATTTTAATTTCAGCCACACTGGTGAAACACATTATAGCTGCGCCACAGGGTGAGCCTGCCAAAGGCAGACAGATGATTCATGTTTGCAGGGAACAAGTATGTCAACACTAACCAAATATTCTCTGATGACAAGGTTGCTTCAGACCCACCTCAATCATTAATTAATATCACCAATGAAGTAGTAATTAAAAAACAAAAGGTTTTTTTGGCAGGATAGGAAATTGGGAGTCACAGATCTGCGTTGCCCCCCGGTGCATTGTCCTCCACGCTCTGTGGCTCTGATGCCCTCTCCACGCAGCATCATCCACAGCGAGCAAACAAACAGGAGAAACTGCTCTTAAGTCTTGAGGCCACAGAGACCACTAAGTCACTTATTTTGATCCCTTCTAAAAACAAACTATAGATTTCCCTGAGTCCTCTCCCCTCTTTTGAACCCAGCTACCTAACTCCCCACCCACACAAACTACAGGATCGTACTTGCCCTTGCGTTTCACAGATACATGCTCTGCACGACAAGAAAGTATGGTCACTAATCCAGAGCTGGTAAATATTCACAGAAAACAGGAATATATTGGGAAAAAAAGTCCCCAAAACACAGCTGAAGTAGCCTAAAATGGAAGAAACAAAAATGTGATTTTGCATCTCTCTTCTGGCCACTTCACTGAGCATTTTCTGATCCAGAGAAGCCGCGCCCTGCACAACTAAATGTAGAGCAAGTGATGCACCAGTGCATAAGGTGGGACTGGCAGTCACAGCAAATTGTGCAGCAGGCTACATCCACTCAGTCACATGCAAGTGAAAAGAAACACCAGCAGCTTAAAAGGCTGCATGTGAATCTATGGAAACTACTACATTTATCTTTTGGATTGACACAACTGCATAGTCCATGGTGATCAGCTAAATGATCTTTTGAGTATTTCAGCATTCACACAGAACCTTAAGTATATGGTTATTTTCTATATTCAGATTTGATACTTCTAAAACAGTATTTGGTGCTTTAGTGTATATCCCCTTTTAAAATGTGGTGAATGAAGCAACAAAAGGGTAAAAATCTGCCACTGTGTTGTACTGCTGCTCTCACGCTCAGGATGCAGTAAAAACACTGGTTTAAGGAAAATATCAATATATCAATTGCTCTTGCATTTTTAATATGGTTAAAACAGCTACCTCTCCTTGAATGAAGCAGGGTTTGGGTTTTTTCTTTTTTTTTTTTTTTCCTTCTTTTGTGGAGAACACAATCAACTGAGAATTGCACAGCATCCTTTCTGAGTTTCTTATGAGAAACAAACAGAGGGAAACTCAAACATTTTAGAGGAAGCTATTGTTGGTTACTCTCATTTAACCATACAGAGAAAGAAACACTTTAGTGAACAAGGTCAAGAGTGTAATTTCACTGCTGTCATGGGTCTATTGGGATTCTGGTGTTCAAAACAAAGAGGCATCTCCTACTGTTAGGAGTATTCAGGGGAAACCCTGATTCCATTACACACTTTTTCAGCCAAAAATGATTTGAAACGCAACATTAAACTGCACATTTCTACAACAGAGGATAAAAATCTGGTAAAGGTGACAAAGAGACACCATTCA